GTTTTGAGAGACAGAAAAAATAGATTTTGATGATGTTTTTCTACGAAAAGCCTTACTCGCTAACAAAATATCAACTCTGTTATTTTCCTACATTATCATATTCGTCTTCGAACTTATGCAATCTTCATTTTTGGCTATCATTAATATGGTGAAATTCCAAAACTTTAATTTTCTCTGTTTTATAAGTGGTCTTCAATTAAGAATCCACTAAACTGAGTCTTTCGAAAGAAATAAAAATCCAAATTGCCAATTTTCAACAATTCTACGAAGATGAGGGTGCATCTTCGAATTTGAAATGTCGTTATTTCCCCATAATGGTTTTCATGCTGGTTTTTTCATAATAATATCATTGTAATTTGATATAAAAACCATAAAGACACTAAAATTAAGATTACTTGAACGTGTATAAAATCATCAGAGAAAACAAAACTAAAACCACCAGAAACTATCCCACAATTGTTGAACTTTGTACTCAACTTAGTTCGGAACAAGAGAGAAAAGGGAATCCAAAGATTTTGTTATATAAACCCTTACGTCAGGAAATAGAATAAACTGAAAAGAGGAGACGATATGTTATTACAATAAGCTAAGATATAACACATATTAGTGTTGGGCATGGGCTTCAAATATTGTCACCTTTAAAGCCCATTTCCGAAAAAAACCCATCAAACAGATTGCACCACCAAACTCGGCCCAGAAGAGAGAAGCGCGACGAGCTCGGCCCAGAAGGAAGGAGTCCGACGAGCTCGCCCCAGTAACTGATGATTCAGGCCCAAAGTGAGCACAGCCGCCTCATGTAGTGAATGACATCAGCACTGGTCCCAAGGCAACCCTAGTACCTCATTCTCTCCACTTTTAGTATAAATATGGGTCCCCATCCCATGAGTTGAATGATTACTTTTTCCACTTTTGGACAAGTACAAGGGAATTTGAGAGCGAAAAGCAATCATTCTCTAACACCAAAAGGGAAAGAATCTCCTGATCGAGCCCGATTGATCAGAAAGGACAAGAACAGCTCGTAAAAAGGCTGCGTAGAGTTCGTACTTATCACACCAGTGATCCGACCCAAGTGCCCTTATCATCAGGTTCCGACCTCCGATCCACCGACCTCGTCATTCAGTTATTCAGTCAGTTTAGATCTCTAACCCGATCTCGTTTTCAGTCACAGGTTCCGACCTTGNAAGCGACGATCTCATACCTTATTCCGATACTCAGAAAACCGAACACAAGGTTCGTCAGCCGATCTAAGCTTCCGAGCTCAATACACAATCTTTTCTAGCACGTACAATATCATATGTTGTANCCTGTTTCCGAGTTAATATCAATAAACGAGAATTTCCGATCCTCTTACTATATATAAATTTATTGTCGAACTCATGGATCAACAATTGGCGCGCCAGGTAGGGGACCAAAATTCTCCAACTCACGATATAGACTCGNAAATGGNCGNAATTCAGCAAGAACNAGCCCTTGACGACCAAGTTATCCTCGATACCCCGGATCGCCCTCAGGTCGTCCAACCAATGGCCGCCCAGGGAAGGCGCGCAGAGCTTGAACCGGGGGTAACCGTGACCGAAGAAGTAGCGGTCGCCCCGGTTCAGGACCCCATGGCCTCCATGATGGAAGTCATCATGCAACGTTTTGACCGTCAGGAAGAGCAGACACGCAGTACCAACACACGGCTCGACCTTCTCAGCACGGCACAAGCCGGTTACCGAGCACAGCTGGACCAACTTCAACCGAGATCGACTCAAGATTCACCACGAGGTCGGCGAAGTTCTTCTCCAACCCCGGAGCGCCGAATCAGAATCGAGACGAGCGGACGATTGGCTAATCTTACAATCGATTCGACGGTGGCGAACCCGAGCAACTCAAGAGCCGTTCGGTCAAGCTCCCAGCACCGCGACTCGATCTCAACCGAAGAACAAAGAATGCAGCCCCGGGCTCACGATTCTGAGATCGAGGGAATGAAAGCCTGGCTAAAGGACATTAATTCCAAGGTCCATCGCGCAATTAGCTCGGCCCCCGAGCTCGACCGCGTTTTGGAAGAAGCACAGCGTAACCCCTTCACGGCTCGCATCTCCTCGGTCCCAATCCGGNGCACGACCAAGCTCAAGATTCNAACATACGAAGGGAATGNCGATCCAATCGGCCACCTGACANCTTTTTCGATAGCTATGGGCCGATCTCAGTTTTCCACGGAGGAAAAAGATGCGGGGTATTGCCAGTTGTTCGTGGAAAATCTTGGCGGAACCGCGCTGACATGGTTCTCGCGGC